TGGTATGATATTATCTGCTTTGGGCCTGAGCTCGTACGATTTTGCTCTTGGGTTTCACCCAAAAAGGCCTCATACCAATTAGAGATGACACACTTACATATAAGCACTTCACCTTTCCTCTACCCGGGCGATGTGGGACTTGTGTACCTGTAGCTCGCCAGTGTGATAGCCTGACAATGTCTCTTGCACCCACCCATAGCACACCCGCCCACAGGGTCATTACAATCCACCCCCTTTGGAGGCCCGACGTCCCCGTCGGCACACTTCTGGCTGGGTCAAGCTCTGATACCATTTGTAACAACCCACTCCACTACATGGTATGATATTATCCGCTTTGGGCCTGAGCCCGCACGGTTTTGCTCTTAGACTTCACCCCAAAAGGCCTCATTCCAATTGGAGACGACACACTTATATATAAGCTCTTCACCTTTTCCTCTACCCAGGCGATGTGAAATTGTGCACCCGTAGCTCGCCGTTGTGGTAGCCTGACAGTGTCTCTTGCACCCGCCCATGGCACACCTGCCCATAAGATCATCACAATCCACCCCCCTTGGAGGCCCGACGTCCCCTTCGGCACACTTCCGATTGGGTCAGGCTCTGATACCATTTGTAACGACCCACTCCACGACATGGTATGATATTATCTGTTTTGGGCCTGAGTCCACACTATTTTGCTCTTAGGCTTCACCCCAAAAGACCTCATACCAATTGGTGATGACACACTTACATATAAGCACTTCACATTTCCTCTACCCAAGCGATGTGGGACTGTGTGTCCGTAACTCGCCAGTGTGATAGCTTGACAGTGTCTTTTACACCCGCCCACGGCACACCTGCCCACAAGGTCATCACATTCGTTTTTCTCTCCTTTTTTATCTTCCCCGCAAAGCAGTTAATTAGTTTTTCTCTCTCCTTTTTCATCTTTACCACAATTAATCTCTTTAGCATCAGGCATCTCAGCCATGAACGCCAAGATATCCATATATATGGTATATAAAGTTATAACAAAAAATTACATATAGCAAACTGATATTTTTCTTGATTGATGAAGATAATCATTTAAAATTTAATTTTAAAGAAAAATTGCAGGGACGAAAGATAAGGTTGTGGTCTTTTTTTTAGCGGTGGTTTTGGATTTTGAATAGCAGAAGAGAAATAATCATCTTCTCCCAAGTTGTTGTTGAATCAACCTCCTCCTCCATTAATGGTTTCCGGTGTTGAATTCTCAACCTTCAAATTGCCGTAGTGCATGGTTGTTGGATCATGTCCTATACCTTCACATGATGATGACTGTATATCAAATGGTGGCCTAGATTTCTTAGCGGCTGGATTTCCCTTTGGTTTCCAAAAAGACCCTGGGATTTAAAAACCCTAATTTTTTAAAAAGATTATATACAATACAAGAACGAACTATTACAACAACAACAACAATAATAATAATAATAAAATAATAATAAAAAAGAAGGTTTTTCTAATGAAAAATAGGTTTAATTTGTGTTATTTTTGAAGTTAAATTTGCAAGGTTATGAGCAGTGGTGGTTGCCATGCTTGGATGACCGGAGATTGTTTGCATTTTGCATTTTGGGGAGAGATGAACCACGTGTTTCAGTAATTGTTTTAATTAATTTATCGAGAAACATATAAATTTTAATAAATAAATAAAGATACTCGTGAATCTTGATAACATGGCATCCATGTAAATTTGGCTAAGGAAATAGGTTAAAGTTTTTGGTGTGAGCATCACTACTCATATATATATATATATATATATATGTGAATAATGCTTATCTTATGCCGCATAAGAATGAACTTCCTTCTTATATTGAGGTGGTCTAATAAAATTTCAACATGTGTTCGAAATTTTAAAACAAAAGAAAAGAATAACTACAGATAATAAAAACCAATCCCCTTACTCTCTCACACCAACTCTCCTTAAATTAATAGAAAAAGAAAATAAGTGTCCCTCTCCCACTCTAAATATACATCTACACACATATCTATATATATATTTTTTCTGTGTATTGAACCTTCTCTTAAATTAAGATCATTGTTTTAAATAGTGAGATCAAATTTAACCCACCAATTACCGGTTGATATATATACATGTATACATCAGACCCATTTCAAAATACAGAGTCGTTTGAAAGCAAAAATGAGGCAAATTGATTACATAAGGATCTCGAAGAGGGGCCATGGTGGTCGGGAAGTGATGAAGTAGAATTTTGGGGAGAGAAGAACAATTCTTCCGTGTATCCAAAAGGAATAGGGTTAATCAGATCAGGGTCCCAAGGGTACATTCGTTCTTTAATTTTGATGACAAGAAGTCTTTAAATTTGATGTCACTGTTTTAAACAATGATCTTAATTTAAGAGATGATTCAACACACAGAAAAATATATATACATACATATATATAGATAGATATGTGTAGATGTATATTTACAGTGGGAGAAAGACATTTCTTTTCTTTTTTTATAAAAGCAAGGAGAGTTGATGTGAGAAAATAAGGGGATGGGTTTTTATTATATGCGGTCATTCTTTTCTTTTGTCTAACAAATGTTGAAATTTTATTGAGCCACCTCAACATAAGAAGAAAGTCCTTTTTATGCAGCCTAGGACAAACATTATTCTTTATTTTATGATAACAGTTATCATTGGAAAGGAAAAAGTTATAAAGAGGTCTGTTAAAGATTTTCCCGAATTTTGTGTTGATGTTATTCTTCCCTTTCTAATTAGTCAACAGGGATAGTTTATGACTTATTGAGAAATTAAAAATATAAATAAATAAATACCTGAGTGGATATTTTATTATTATTATTATTATTTTTCGCAAAATCATTGTGACAAAATTTGATGAGATGATGTGCTTTGACACACACACACACATATAGATAGGTAAGTGCAAGAAACATTCACACACACATACACACACATATATATATATATAGGTAAGTGCAAGAAACATTCCTGAATTATACCTTTCATTGCACTTTTATCCTTAATTAAAAAGGTGTGCAAAAAACACTCCTATTCTTTTTAATTTATACGAAAACACCCCTCAATTAATATAATGTCCAAATTACCCTTTCACTCTTCCAAAAACACCCCTAGAGGTTGGGAATTTACTGTTGGGTCTCTGATGGAGGAACGGCTGGTGGCAGTGCGCCAGAGATGATGGAGCAATGAAACGGCCACTCATCAGCGGCAATGATCGTCGGGCACATGGCGGAGTGTTGCAGCGTGTTGACATGCGATCTGGATGAAGAGGACGAGGGGCGCGGGTGAGGAGGCCAGAGTGTAACCGGCGCGTGATATTGAACAGAGGTTTGAGATCGAAAGTGCTCTATAAGTGGATGACCATGAACCTTTGCCGTGGGTCTTGATGCGCCAGTGAAGAACTGGGTCTCGAAGTTCCAAACTTGAGCGACAACAGAGGTATTATATGTGTGTATATTCTGTGTGTATTCTATATCGGTATTCTGTTTTATTTTTTATTTTTTATTTAAAGCATCGAATTTTAACGGTTTTAAGTCTGTTGGATTTATTTTTTCGAACTACTGATCTGTGATAGTTTTGTTGGTTCTGTAATTTTACCATGAAATGTCCTTTTTAAGCTGTCATTATTGACTTTGTCAGTGTTTACTAACACAAATTTGACTTTTTAGAAATGCAATGAGATATTAAATATAGATGAAGCTTTGCTGATCTTGAGAAATTCAATTCAAATGTAGTTTCAGAAGTGTTTTAGCAAAGTAATTTTGATGGAAACTACAATTTTCTTTGGAACAAGCAAAAAGTTTTGCTTCTTAATGGGGTTTTCTCAAAACAATTGCAATAACTCTAGAAAGCCTCTAAGATGATCCGTGTGATTTTTTATGACATTAGTGAGATCCTCAATGTGATTTTTTTATAGCATTAGTGAGATCCTTTGTGTCCACTCTTAAATCCTTGTGCATATCCACAAAAATCTTCAGGTAATACACAGTTTCATTCGTTGTAGAACCTCACTAATACACATAGTTTCACTCTTCATTCCTTGCAGAATAAACTTTGGGGCAATTCAATTTCAGTTCCTAAGCAATTGAATCTTTAGGTAATACACACAGTTTCATTCCTTGTAGAACCTCACTAATACACACAATTTCACTCTTCATTCCTTGTAGAATGAACTTTGGGGCGATTCAATTTCAGTTCCTAAGCAATTGAAGGAAATCAAGTTAGTGTGGTTTTTGATAGGATTAGTGAGATCCTTTGTGTCCACTTCTAATTCCTTGTACTTATCCACCATATCTTCAGATAATACACACAGTTCATTCCTTGTAGAACCTCACTAATACATACAGTTTCACTCTTCATTCCTTGTAGAATGAACTTTGGGCAATGCAGTTTCAGTTCCTAAGCAATTGAAGGAAATTGAGTCAAAAAAACACACAATCTAATTGTCAATATAAATTCAATTAATTGGTAAAAGTAAAACCTCAGTGTTGTTGTTAATGGCATCACTGAGATCTCGAGTGTCCACCCTTAATTCCTTGAACATGTCCTCAAAAATCTTAATGGCTTGGGATGCGAATACCAAGGATACCATCTTTTTTTTCCGAATCCACTCGATTCAGTGAACTTCTTCTCTTTCCAAGAAGTAATCCTAAAATTTGACAGGAAAATGTAATAATACTTTTAAATATAAACATTAGATGTTATTCCTGACTTAAGCATCCTCCAAATAATCACCGGAAGTCTAGTTGCACATAGCGATGCAAATTGGGTTTTTTAACGGAATTCAAAACCTCAATGGAGGACAGATTAATTATTAAAACCGCAAGGAAAAATCGCATGTTTTGTTCTTACCATCCATTTTCAAGAACATCCAAAATTTTATTAACAATATTAGGAAAAAATTGATTATAAGATCAAATCATAATAAACCAAACATTTTAAACAAAGCACAAGTCGGTATTGAGATGAAGAGAGAAAGCTCACCGGTAAGTGCCTATAGAAGCTTCTTCCACGGTGGCGTTTCAAGGGGGCGACCAACGGTTTGAATGATAGAGTCTGACGACAAAAAGTGATGCAAGTGGATTATATATATATATATATATATATATATCAATTACTCATTTTAAAATTATGAATTCCTGATTGAAAAATGATGAACTCACAAATCGCAAAAAATAAAGAAAAAAAATTTCACAAATTAATTAAACCACGTACGCAGAGGGCTATATACACGGAAATTAGAAACAAATCATTTAATGGAAGAGAGAGTGGATTCAAAGTTGAAATTGGGATGCGAACCTGAAGATCTGATGACGTTTGGATGTTTGAGGAGCTTCAATGTGCCAATCTCTCTCTTAATCTGCAACCTCCATTCAAAATATATCCACTGAGTTCAAGGTAGAACTAAGAGATACAAATTATATATATATATGTATACAGAAACCAACAACTGCCAATCAACTTTATCTATATTTGGAAATCATTAGCACATTCGCCTCCAAAGAAGTCCCAAAAAAAACCCTTGAAAAACTCCACCATATCTGGCACTCTTAATGTCGAGAGAAGCATTCTTTTCTGTGATGTTAATGAACTGCACAGACTAGCCTGTCATTGTTGTCCCAATAAATTTATATTCCAGCCTCCTTAAAAAAAGATATAACTCAATTTATAAAACTCGACCAAAAAAAGAAGTAACTCAATTTATAAAACTGAACCAAAAATGTGAATGGTAAATTCTTTGCAAAAGGATCGACTGATCATCCGATATTCTTGTTGGTAAAATATTTCTTACTTCTTTTTAACTGCGCCCTCTCAAGGAATCCAAGTGGGTGCATAAGAGGCAGGTTTTAGCCTATCATTTGTTTGGTCTTAGGAAGAACCAAAAGAATTAGACATTTGTGTATGAATCCATCAGTTAGAAGCAACAATATGGTAAAAGAAGAAAACATCCTCAGATACCGCTTTTACATTCCCCTTCCTCCACCCCTCAAGACCAAAACAACACACAAAAAAAAATATAATAATAATAATACTAAAATAAAAAAATTAAACTATAAATCCCATTGGTTGGTTATTCCTCTGTGGTACAGTCTGAAATTCCTATTTCTATAATCGATAATTACATAAACATATACCATATGGAAAAGGAAAGAGTAAATTTAATGGTTAGAATTAGAGGAACTGAGAAGGAAATCCCGAGGAAGATGAAAATTATTTGTGGATCAATATATGATATGTATTGTCAACTCAGCTAAGCTAAATAGTTTGTCATCAAGCTCTGCTGCTCTGCTCAGGAGCTCGATCTTTTAGGTTCCATTTAAAATAAACGATCTCCAACTGACTTCCATTTTCTTACATTTTCTCAGCAACCAAATGCGGCACTAACATACAATACAACCCAAAAAAAAAAAAACCGAAATCAAACAAATTGAAGAATTACCTGTAACTGTATGTGAATCTCACATTTTGCAGACTTCAAAACTTGTGAGCTGTCGAGTGTAGCTCGAACAGTGATCAAGCCACAAAACAAATTAAGAAACCCTAAAATGTTCTTAGAGAGAGAAAAAAAACAAGAAACCCTAAGGTTCTTAGAGAGAGAGAGAGAGAGAGAGTGAGAAGGTAAAGTGAAATTGTCCCACACGTTTTCAGAGACATTTATAACAATATTTGACCATATGACACTCCCTCTTTCTCTCTCTCCTTCTCTCTCGTGTTTTCTACGGTAATTCTGAGTAGCGGATTCCGCCCGGTTTTATTTTACGTTTGCTTTGAGATTCGGGGTCCGTACCCGATATTTTTGGGTGAGGAGCGGTAAAAGCAATTCATTGGTCATCACAGCTGACGTCATGGTGTTGACCGGCCTTTTGGCACCCATGGTCTAAGGGTAAGTTTATGTGGGGTGGTGGTGTATGTGTTCGCTAGATGAAGACTGTCCGATGGATACGAAGAGTGTATCCGATGGCTACAAAGGGAAGATGGTACAATACCACCAGCTTATCGATTAATGTAAAATGGACACCCATATTATTGAACAAGATCTATCAAGAAATTTAACTTCCCAAAAAAATATTTTTTATTTTTTAAATTTTGATTTATAATTTTAACTAGAAATATCTTAAAATCTCTTATTATACGTCTTACTTTGGAACACGATTGGGTTCTATAGTTTTAAGTTCTTTATAATTCAATATGTGATGTCTTACATAGCGTCCTGTGATAAGTTTTTGATATATATATATATATATATATATACACACTATATATTATTATTTTATTAAAAGTGCAAAGATTTATTTATAAATATAAAAAACTATTTATTAATTAATATAAAAAAAATTAAAAGAATTTCCATAAAACTCTAATACAAATTACCTATTTATTATAATTTTTTTTCCAATTAAATAAGGTGTTTAGAATAGTTACTATAAAACTCAAATTATCTATTTATTATGAGTTTTTTTAATAAAAGGTAATCTAATTAAACAAGAAAATATATAAAGAAAATAACTAATTTAATCTCTTTAATTAGACAAGAAAATATATAAAAATATATATACATGTCTTATTAGAGCTTTTAAAAGGATTTTTATAAAACTCTAACACATATTACTAATTTATTATGAATTTTTTATAAAAAGAATTAATATAGGGTGTTTAGAAGAGTTTCAATAAAACTCAAATTACCTATTTATTATGAATTTTTTTTAATAAAAAGGAATCTAATTCAATAAAACTCAAATTACCTATTTATTACGAATTTTTTTTTAATAAAAAGGAATCTAATTAAAAAAGAAAATATATAAAGAATATAAATAATTTAGTCTCTCTAATTAGATAAGGAAATATATAAAAGAAATATATATGTCTTTGGATAAAGAAAATATTCAATAATTATATTCATCACTAAAATAAGTATTAGTGAATTGTCAAAAAAAAATTAAAAATAAAAGTCTTGATTTTGATAGTGTTTTAGGAATTTGAAAATACACCCATCAACAATTAAATTCCTATTGAAATTTTTAATTAATAATTATTATTTTTATTTGTTTTACCACGTGTCAATTTTATATTAATTGATCACTTTAGAGTTTTGCTAATTATGTGTTATAGAATAATTTTCTAATTTAGTTTTGTAAATATTTTGTAAATTGTTATCACTATTTAATCTTGTAATTTGTTAATCTTAATTAATATATCAGTGTGATTATTTTAAGAAATCAATTTTAATTATCATTTGAGAAAATAATTATTTAATTACTTTGTTGAAAATTAATTTTAAACTAAATTTTACTCACATGCAACATACGTACCATTTTACTAGTATATATATGTGTGCGAATGTCTCTGAAGTGTTTGAAAATTATGAGCACAAAAAGTGTTCAAAACGGATTATGACAATATCTACACAGCAAGGTGGGGCTAGATAATAGTAGCAAGTAAAATATAGGAAGAGTATGCACAAGCCCACATGGATTAGACCAGTGACAATGTTTTTGTTTTTTGGAAAATGATTGGTGAGAATGGTGGGTCTTAAGAGAAGGTGATTGTGTGATCTCCTAGGGGAGAAATTTCTGATACTTATATGGGTAGATGAGGGTAGATGCCTTCCGACTATGAAGATACGCACATTTTGAAACTATGGGTAGGGTATGTGTAATTCTATCTTGCAAATAACTCCTTTCAGTACTAAGGGTGGGTTGATACCCACAACAGAAGGCATTCTACACAGTAAGGCGGATTCGATTTTTGGATTTCTGCTTGGACAAAACAGAAGATATTGTCAATAAATAGAAGTACGTCTTGTTCATTAATATCTCAGAAATAAGTAAGAAGACCCTTTGACATCTCTTCATGTGCAAATATTTCTTGATGTGAAAACACAAAGACAAATGGCTGATCTTTGAATAAGAAAAATAGTGGATTCGCAAGGTCCCAAATGAATTGGCTTATTTGAAAAAGGTCCCATTGTTCTTTGGAAAATATATCTCGTGTCTAGTAGTGGATGATTCCACTCTGCAAGAATTCCGAATCATTCTCTTGAATTTCATCCTCTTCATAATAAATGATACGCTTTTTCCGAAAGTAGAACCCAACTTCTTTCTTTTATCATTTAGGAGTCATGTGAGATGAAAGTCTTATGCACGGTTTTAAATGAGAGAAAGAATGGAGGAATCCTCTTTTCGACTGTGATTCTTCTACTCCATTTATTATTTTTCTTTCTGTTACATACTTCGAAAATAGCTGCTCCAGCTCCAGCCACTCGAATTTTCAATATTCCTTTTTATTTCTGATCAAACTGTTTGGCTTGCGAAAAAGCTTAGGGTTCTACCTTCCACTCGTGTGGAAAGGTTTGCGGGCGTGCCAGGAACCACTATCGTTCCAAAGTGGATATCCGAACAATATTCCAATAGGAGATTGTAGGGATCAGACGATTGTACGAAGGACTGGAATAACCACCTTCGGAGGTTCTTTTTTCCTTGAAAAAGGACTTCGGGACTGTTCTATAGCTAGTGAAAAGAAGTGCGGTATTGAAAGTGGAAGACTATGAAATAAAGTGTTGGAAAGTAGGAAAGATAAGTGCAAAACTTGAATTAAATATAATGAAAGTGCATTACATGAATGTAAAGATACATGAAATGAAGTAATTGAAGTGTTGTTTAGTTGTGTGTGTTGAATAGGATTTGCAAACTAAACCTAAGTGCTTTATTTATAGACTTTTTCCATGCAGCAATTTGGTATGTGGTAGCCTTGGCAGCTTTCATTTGGCTAGACTTCGGACTAACAATTAAGTGTCCCATGATCTCTTGGCTAACCATCTTCTTCCTCCTCTTTGTTTCTTTTGAGCATGTCTTCTCCACGATTTCAAGTTGTGTGTATGCTTCTGAAGTAACTTTCCACTTGTCCTTTCTACAAATTGACATATGTCCCACATCTTTATATTCTTCTTTTTCTGTCATAGATTTCTTTCTCTTTCAGACACGATTAGCCTAATCACCCATGATTTCCAACAAATTCCCTAAGTTAGTGGCATTTACCATATGAAGTACCACCACTTTCAACTGACCTATTTGTGTTGAACCAAGTATCCCACGATTTTTAGCAGTTTCCTTTTGTTAAACTTCCCCATTTGATTTCTTCTTGCGTGACGTCATGGCCTTATGACTTTAGCGATTTCCTATTTCAAAGTAAAATACTTCAGTTAGTGGTAGTTACCATATGTGTTTGTGGAATTAAGGGCTAGTTTGGTGTGCATGAATGAAATGGAATGGAATGGAAATGAAACTAGGAATGAAATAAAAATGGAATGGAATGGGAATGATGATTCCCATTCTCTTGTTTGGTTACAAACATAAAATGCGTAAAAATAAAATGATGATTTCCATTCACGTTTGGTTTGAATAATGTAAAAACTACAAAAGGAATAAATTTATATTGTTTTCTCCAAATAACCTTTATCATTAATAAAAAATTTAATTAAAAAATTAACATCTAAAGAAATTTTTTCCAATCTTGGGTAAGAAAGAGGTCTGTAAGAATGAAATTGGGGCAAGAGATAGAGAGAGAAAGTAGAGAGAATAAAGAAACTGGGGCAAGTGAATGGAGGTGTCGGAGTTTGGGTTGGGTTGTGTGTTAGAGAAGATGATGATGGCGGCGGGAAAGAAGGCTGGATTATGGAGAGGAGTATAACAGACTTCCTTTCTAAAAAAATCATTCCTTTATTTATTTATTAGAATTGATTCACCCCTTCCATTAAATGAATACTACCCCAAAACACACAATGATTACCATACAGGGAAAGAAAATGTTCTTGATCTATTTATATTGCAAAGTAATTTTTGTACAATACGTGATGCATCGAAGAATATATATATATATATATATATATATATATATATATATATAAGTTACTGGATTATAGAAAGGAGTATAACAGATTTAATATGAAGGGGTGGATTGGAAGAGAACAAAGACGTGATGGAAGAAATTATGAACGATTTTTTTTTTTTTTGTCATAATTTTTTAAATTCTATTCTATGTGAGAATGAAATATTCATTCCATTGTTAAAAAGAGAGGGAATGAAATAGTGGGAATGGTCATTCTCGAGAATGCTTCTTGATTCTCTTTCCAATTTTAATTTTATATACCAAACACGGGAATGGAATAAAAACCATTCTCATTCCCATTCACTCTTAATTGATTCCATTCCGTGGCACCAAACTAGCCCAAGTTCTATTACGTGGTGGAATAGATTTGGTACCATGGCTTTGCACAGCTATCAGTGTATGTGTGTCTGCACAGTGAAGTCTAATTCTCACTAGTTTCGGTTTTATTATGGGGCAGTCTTTCGGTGAAGTAATGGTTGAGCAATTTAATTGGATATGGTTGTCGTTTTTTATTTTTATTTTTATTTTTATTTTTTATGCAATGGATATGGGTTATTGGGGACAAGGTTTAAATTATTTTGTAGCACAACAGTATTAATTTATTTATTTTTTTTAAAATCCAAAACAAACAAACAAAAAAACACAAAAGAAAACTACAATTCCACAGAACCCTCAACACTCGAAACATCAATGATGTGAGAGGGCAACGAAACAGA